TTCCACCTCCAACAACACAAACAAGAGGAAGATGAGGATAAACAAGATTAAGATAGTGTCTAATATAGAAGAATTGCCTTAATTTTTAATAATTAAAGATCATGTATTAATAAATTAAACCGAATGGTGATAGATAAATATCCTCTAAGTGCAAAAGTTCTATCAGAACCCATATTAGTAAAATTGCTAGGATAAACTTCAAAATAATGATGTTTTAAATGATTTGTTACAAGACACTTCTTTCCAGGCAAAATATCTTTTTCTGTAAATTCTTGTTGCCCAATTTTTAACTTGGCAACATCCTCTTTAGTCATAGTAGTAAGAGATTGAATAAATTTTAAATTTTCGTTATAGTTTTTGCGAATTTCACAATTAAGTGTTTCAGGCACACATCCTCCATTAAACTGACAAAGTAATTTTATAAGTGGTATAGTTTTCACAGACAAAGTGGACGTTGAACAAATTTTAAATTTTTCCAGCATTCCTGCATTGTAACCTTAAATTTTTATTGAAGAACAAATTTCATTATCAATATTACCAATACTATTATTGCTTGTCATTTGGATAATAAAGTTAAATAGCAAACAAAAACCTGTAAGCATTTTTAAAATAGATTATTTAAATTTAAAAAATATCATGTATGAAAACTATGAATTTAAAAAAGAATTTTAGCTAAATTTATACATGATAAAATTTATTTAGTCGGATCAATTATTGGATCTCCTCTATATCCGTACGGGTAACAATCAAAATTTGAATCAATTAATCCTTTATCATAGATAGGGGCATATCTCCTAAAATATGATTATAATATTGTAAATTTTTCAAAAATCACCGAGTTTGTGACCGACTCGTAATTTCCCCATGACGCCAACTCGGTTGAAAGTGTGTTCTTTCAAGTAGTACAGGTTCTTGATCCTCGCCATAAGCTTCGACCATTGACTAGAATTATAATTCAAATTCATAATGATATTTAATATACTTTAAATTTGTTGAAGTCCAGAGGAGAGTCAACTGTATCCCAACACCCTCTGCATTTAACTATGAATTTTATTTCTTTGCTGACCTTGTGCCTCATTTTCATTGCATACTAAAAATTTTTAATTTTATTGGAATGATATTTTATTGACCTGTTTACAGCCTCCTGTGTAAAAAGCAACAATATTCCATTCTCCATATTCTTGGGCCATCATTCCCAACATTTCTCCAACACGAAATGGATGCTTCTGTCCACGTTTATGAACATAGAAACAGCTATCTGTGTCGGTATACAAGAGCTTACAGCCCTTTTCCATTACTATTTTTTCCATATAATCGTAGAGCATTATTCTAGCAGTTGCAGTAGTAATTAGGGCAATTGCAATATTGTATTTATCATGAGGACGCACAAATTCATTTCGTTGCCGATAAGGAACAGAAAATAGATCTGTAGCCAACATTTCTACAGCCCCAATCTCAAGTTTCGGGTCATTAAGGACTGTGTGAAGTTTAACTGGTGAACTTGTTATGCAATCCTTAGAATTATTTAAAGTAATATTAGCTTAAGGATACCTGAGATAAGTTGCATCTCAATGCCCATCTGCCCCACCTAAACAAAAATTTTTAATTTTACTTCAAAAAATATTACATCGAATTGTTACAGGTTTTTGCTAGATATCGCATGCCTTCATTTCTAGAAATTCGGGAAGATTCCAAATTTATTCCATAAACACTTTGGTTTCGATTAATGAATTCTTGTTTTCGTTCTTCTAATTCTGATCCATGGATGTCAGCTAAACTATTTGGCCAACCGCTTGCCTATTTTATTAATTGATTAATATATCAAAGATATTAAACCTCTATTTTTAAACGCATCATATCCTGAACATATGGTCGTAACAATTTATCAGACCATTTTTCCCAATGGTAAATGCTATAGACTTTTGTAACTCGATATCCTTTCTTTAAAGCTAGTTCAAGTTCAACAGAACATGTTGTACTGACAAATCCTCGTTGTTCATCGCTATGTGGGCACAATTCATAGCTTTTTTCTCTAGTGTAACCTTGAATTTGCTTTTTTGCAATTCCCGGCGATATCTCTACAGCACAGCGATGACAAAGATGAAAAATCTTAAATAAACATTTGAAAAAATTTTTCTCGAATATATACCAATTTGCCGTGAATACGTTCTGGAATAACAGGCAAATATAAATTATCAGGAGGAATAATAAAAAGTTTGAACAGCCCTCGGTATGGATATAAATCTTCAGGCTTTGTCCAATTTACGTCCTTGTTCAGTTCCATAACTTTTGGATGCCCTTGTAAAAAAGTTTTATTCTGATTTTTGAAAATTTAAATCTTACCTATCGGATAAAAGGCATAAAAATTCACGGCAGGATATAAACTAACAACATCAAAACATGATATTTCATATTCATTTTCTGACGATTCTTCTAAGTCACACTTAAGTGCCAAAGGTCCCGTTCTTCCCCCCTTAATTTAAAATAAGTATTTATTTCGAATAAATAATACATGAAAAGCATCCCTAGGATACAGCGGGCCAATATCTGGCAAGGTATCAAAAAACAGAGACATTTCTGGATCCTCTTCAAGTTCTTTCATAATTTCACATTCCCAAACGGCAGTAGTCCAAATTTCCTCTTCTTTCAATAAGAGAACACGTTCATGAAGTTTATCCTTGTTATATAGTGCCGTCTTTCCATTTAAACAAACTTCATGTGGGCGATATAAACTAAAAGCAAATAATTTGGAATATAAATCTAATTACCATTCATGTCCGTGCCATGCACATCCCAAAAATTCAATAGCTTGGTCTACACCTCCCATGTTTTTAATATACCCATCGAGACGCAAAATACTTCCATCCGAAACTCTGACTCTTTTTTCTCCTTCTGGACTTTCTTGATGTTGAACTTGAAGGCCTGTCTTGTGTGAAAGCCAGCGAAGAAATTTTAAAGCGATTGCAGATTGGTTTGAATCCCGGTGATAGCCATTATCGGGAATGATACCCATTTGATTTTCTTTCAAATAGTTTATACCTTAAAGTATAGTAAATTAAAAAATAATTTTTAAAACTTACAGAAATGACGAATACACGCGCTGGCAAGTGTCATAGAGTTAACAAGTACGTCGTCACACTTTGAAGGCTCTGTAGCTAATTCAAAAAAAAGACGCTGAAGTTTCACAAGGGCATGCGCCAGTATCCGAACATCTTGCTCACAGTATTCAATAATTTTTTCGCGCAGACAGAATGGTTCGTTCTTATTCGCGCAATACCATTCTTCAAATAGTTTCCTTCTTTCCTTTCCCATTGAATCAGGGTAATAATATTGACGATCAGGCAATCCATCAAGGCAAATATTCATATTTTTATTAAAATTCCATCCATGAGGGAAAAAAGACTTTCCCCCCTCGTCAATTTCGAGAGCAAGCGCTTTTGGTAATTGCTCAAGTTTGAGCATCATCCAATTGAACGAATCGCGAAATGAAATAAATGGGCATCGTCTTCGCTGCTTCTTAATAAGAACTTCGTAAAGCTTATTTCCGGTTCTTGTAATTTTAGGCTCGATGCCAAAGTGTTTGATGAGCTCTCCTAATAGCAGATGCATATCATAGCGACTAAAAAATTTCTAATAAAATAATATAAGTAAGCAAACCCTCCATAGTGTGAGATGGCATAAGTTCTTAACGTTCGATCATACCCTAATCCATTAATTAACCATTCCAGAAATTCACGCAAAGGATTTTTATAAAATGCTGCTGTCCAGCTTTTCATTCGGGTTAGTCCTACACCACATAACTTGCAATCACCCGTTTCATCATTTTTCCAACTATTGTTGCCCATACACTTCGAACACATCAACAAAGCCTAAATTTATAGCTAAATAATAAAAATAATAAGTTTATTACCGATACACAATTTACATGATGAAGTTGATAATTTTCATCATCTGGCAATGCACGTAAAGGAGTCAACCCATCATTCTCAAGTTGCTTCCACGCTTCTTTATTTTTTATTGGAGATATGAGCTCACATTCAAAATCGAATACAATCTAAAGATAAAAATTTCATTTTACATTTATAAAATACCAATAGATAGTTCTGTTTATTTTTTGGTACAATTGGTTGAACATAACATTGCTCATCGCGCTTGTGGAATGAGCGACAGAGCGAGCAAAATTGTATGTAGCAAACATGACCATTAGTTTTATTTGAATCATTTTCACTGTTGTCCGTAGATTCGCTGTTTGATTGTTGCGAGTTAACCGAATCTTTCTTGACACGATAAATATGTCCACATTTCTCGCATCTAAAAAATTTGTAAAAAATGAAACACAAAAAATACCTTTTAAAAATTTTGCAAATTCCTTTATCTTTATGTCGTTTGTAACATTCAGGATTTATAAAAATATTTGCACATTCAAAACATTTTTGAGAATATCCCTCAATTTCCTTGCATGGGAAGCCATATCCCATCCCACAACAACGAGGGCATTTAGCTACACATGCCTGTCGATGAGCATTCTTATGTCTATAGGGTGCCTCACAGTCAATACAATAAGGTGTTCCAAAAAGCGCGTTCACACATCTAATTCCATAAAAGTGCCCTTGCTTCAAGTATAATCCGATCTCATGCTCGGCTCTTTCAGGGCCTTTCCATATTGGACGCATATTTCCATGTTCTCCAAACACTGATATTCTATATTTTCCAGGGAAGCGGAGATCTAAAAGTTGTTGAATCAACGGAACATGTTCTTCTACTGTATATTGAGGTGCATAATGAGGGTAGTTAATTTTGTATATCAACATTTGCTGAAGCATTTCATTGATTAATAATGTTCGTCCGATTTTTGCATTTTTACTTTGACTATTTACAAGTCTCTGGAATTTGACATTGGCAACATTCGACTTTTCCAGGTTAACATGTTTTAGTTTCAATTGAACAGCTAATAATAGACAGTGATTGTTAGCGGGAGGATTAAGTGTTTCATTATGGACCTATAATATTTTGATAAAAGGATTAGAAATAAACTTGTTTACTTGTATTAGGTTATTAATGTCAATTCCATGCTGAATTTGACGCGGATTTCTTCCGACGCCTCCTTGACCTTGTCTAATTAATTCTAAAGCCTCATCATTTGAAGGACCCATGACAATCGAAATAAATAATTTTTTAAATTAAAAAATAAATTAAACCTCAATATGAATAGGTTGGCTATATAAAGAAGGTCTTCCCATACGTTTCCCACTCTGATCAACTGCATCAAATTGCTCCATAACTACTTGAGGAGTATTTTGAGCGAGGCCGCGATATGGTATTTGAATTGGTTTTTCAAGAACCGCACTTCTAATAATTATTGAACATTTTTCGGATTTTGCACCCGCTGTCTTATCAGCCTGCGCCAAAAAGTGGTCGATCAGATCTTCTAAAAGTTTGTCGGTACCATCTGGAGCATCATCTACATTGCGAACAGTGAAAACAGTTCTAGAATAAAAAATTTTTATAGAAATAAATTTTATTTACCTGAAAACTCCAATTTTAAATTTCGAGCTTTTAAGATTTTCGGATACGTCTTCTTTATAAAAGTGGTCAATGGAATAATTTCCAAAATTTTTTCGGTTCATCTAAAATTACAAAAAATTTTTATTAGATATTTTTTAAATAATTTTGCGATGTTAACGCAAAAAATTATTTGAATAAAATTATTTGGTTAATTTATTCATTTATAAAAAAACAGGCACTTTAGGAAAAAGCTAGGACTCGCATAATGTCTTTTTTACCATCCTTCTTCTGAATGTATCTCTTCGTTTGTCGCCATATAATGAACAGTACCAGGCGCAAATATTGACACATTGTCTTGTGTCGAAGTGCCTTCACCTCCATCTGCTAAATCCTGACTCGCATGTGTCTCAATATTAAGTTGAGATTCCAAACGTTTAGTTATGTCGTTCATGATAATGACAGGAGAAATTTCTAAAATATAGGAATATGTTTTTAAAAATTGGTATAGATACCTCTCTTCTTCTTTGATGGTATATAACGTCTGTAGCAGCAAACGTCTATTGCCGACTGCAGGTCAATTTGTTCCCAATATTTGCTATTTGGATGACCTAGAGCAGAATATAATTCATTTTTGACGACGTCAACAATGGCCTTAATATTTTTTTAAATAAGAAACTTTTTCAATAAAAACTTGTCTTCCCAGAGCTTGTCTCTCCTTCAAAAAATGCTCATGGATTTTACTTAATCCAATTTGCGGATATCTATTGCGGTGATGCTGAATAAATGCGTTGTAAAGATCAGACTTAAGTTGCTTTTCATCATATTCTGCACCATGAAGCTGCACAAGCTTTCTCGCCAGACGAGTACGTTTCTCTTTGAGTTCTTCAAGTGCAATATCCGCTACATGTTGATCCATCTGAAAGTTAATGTAAAATTAAAAAGAATAAAACGAAACCTTTTATTGCACAAAACGAGTTGTAATATTTGAGATAAAGATTTGTTGCTATAAAGAATTCCAAAGATGAATTAGTAAATTAAAAGATAAAATTCGATAAAACGAATGAAAAATAAAATTTCCATTAAAAAATAGCCTTTATTCAATAAATGTTATAGTTATCAATATTCATTTTTTCTTATTAAAATTGCTAAACATATTAAAAGTTTTCTGTTGGTAGTCTTTATTGATGTCCTTACAGGCCTCGCAAACCTATAAAATTTAATTAATTTTAAAAATTTTTTGAACATCTACCATGAAACTCAGCTCATATTTTTCCCCACATTTTTGCAAAAACATGTCACTGGCCAAGGACCTCTGAAGAGCGATACATTTATCGCACTAAAGTTTTAAAATAAATCGTAGTTAATTTAAATTTTTACCTGATGCAAGATCCAACAATATTTCATTAAGCTCAATAGCTTATAATCAGTTCCTGAAGCAATATTTGCACCCCTTTGAAAGTATAAAACACCGTCAGCTTAAAAATTTTTTCAATAATTTCAATTTTTATAATTTTCTTACATTTTGAAAAGCTGGACGCTTGTTCCTCAGGCGTTTCATACATTTCCTTGAAACCTTTTAAAAATTTTTAGATCATTTGATAATTATGTAATACCCCAAGAGAGAGCATAATACGCCCCTAGGTTTATATTTTTGTCGAGGTCCTCTGCGCACAATTCGAATGTAAGCATAAGATTTATAGCATTTCCTGCTTTGTAAAGAAAATTTTGTCGTTTCTTCTGCGTTTCTCGACAGTCGTTGCATTGGTGAATGAAAATTCCTTGGCGCGGTACTTTAAGCACCTGTGCACGCTTAAGTAATGCCTCAGGAACTAATTGTTCAGCGCGTTGTTTACCTAAAAAACCTTTTGAAAGGTTTTTTAACAAAACCTTTTGAAACTAAAAAATATCAAACATACGTTCGATTCGTCTTCGATTGTATTCATCTTCATCCTCGCCCAAAGAAATAACCGCATTCGGATCTGGATCATCAGACTCATCCTCTTCCTCTTCATAATCCATAACCGCTTCAAGAATAGCTTCATGATCATGCTCTTGTTCCTTTGAATGTTTAGACTTTTGACCGGTTGCTCGTTCAATAATTGACTAAAATATTTAATTTAAATTATTGACGAAAATTTTTCAACCTTAATAACAGCGTCAAAAGTATTTCTTGAAACATTTCCCATTTTTTTATTCGACTTGGTTTGTGACTTCTTTGCGATCGGTGCCTTGATTGAAGAACCAGAACTCAAAGTAGAACTCGATTTTTCAAGAGAACGTCGTCGACGTGCTTCTGCAGCTTCTTTTTTCTTTTTGTGTTCTAATATAAAAGAGCGTAGTTCTTGAATTTCCGATGCCGTCATTGAAGCTGAATTTATTTTCTAAATCAAAAATATTTAATATTTACCTTCTAATGCCGAATCTTCTTGTACAGTTTTTGCCTCACTTTGAATTTCTTCGCAACCCTTATCCACACACATCTCCGTCCCAGCATTCTCATCAATTATAATTGGGGCATCAGCCGTGCCTGTAAATGATAAGACATATTATTAAATTAACTAATAACACGTATTATCATTTACCATTTTTGGTTGTCGTATCAACTATTTGTTCCATCAGAATTTTTTCTAATGAAATAATATGCGAAACTAAAATATGAAAAGTCAAACTATGAAAGATTATATAAACATGAATTTCAAAAATACAATCGAAAATTAGGGAAAAATAAATTGAAATTTTATTATTGATATTAAATATTGTAAAGTTAACTCAAAATGTCAAAAGCTTATAAACAAAAATTTTAAGTTTAAAAATTAAAAATTGAAATAAAATAATTTTAAAAATTCAATTATAGGAAGAGGAGAATGTATAAGGATATAATTAAATTGGAGAGGGGGATATTAAGCTAGGAGAGGGTAAGGCTATTATTAAATGTTGAATGTGAAAGCAGAATGAACCTTTAGGCGGTTTTGGTCCTGCTTTTATATGGGTCCTGACAGCCCAAATTTTGGCCTTGATTGATTAATTGCCCGCTCATTTTCACTTTATTGCAAGTTTGTTACTAAATTTAGCACAATTTTTGCAATTAATCAGCATCTTGACATGGTGATTCACTTTATTTTGCACAATTTTTATTTTTTATAAACATAAATCCCAACTTTTGTGCAAAAATACATTAATCACTCAGTGTACTTTGCTCAGTCAGGATATAAACATTATAAACAGATGGTCACAAATTTTCCTATATAAACACCCCATACCCTTCTAACATTATTCAGTTGCCACTTTCCCAAAATATCCCTGGCCTAATGCTTTATTATTATTTTTATTTAATTTATTATTTTTTACATTTTGGCGTTTTGTATTTTTTCCTAGTAGCGTTTTTGGCGCGGAAAATTTGGCGCGTTTGGCGTTTTTAATATTTGATTATTTTGCGTTTTGACATTTTAAAATTAAAAAATTTGGCTTTTGGCGTCGCATAAAATTTGGCGTTTGGCGTATTTTAAAATCTCTCTCCATTTGGAATTGGGAGTGTTTAACAATTTTTAAATTTTGCGTTTTCACAATTTAATAATTTTGCGTTTTGCACGTTTTAAAATCTAAAAATTTGGCTTTTAGCGTCACATGAAAATTTGGCGTTTGGCGTTATTTTTAGCTATTTGTGCGCTTGGAGTGTTTCAAAAAATTCGCGCTTGGCACGAACCATAACTCAAGATTTATCAACATTTTTAAAAAATTTATATTTTTCGAGACGGGCCAATTGTCCGATGTCTAAATCTAAGACTGGCCAATTGTCCGATGTCTAATTGCCCTTTTTAATTTAAATTTTTTACACTTTAACATCTATTTATTTTTTACAACGAATCCCACCTTCTTTATCGATTTTATATTTGTCACATTTAATTAACTGAAATACTTTTTAATAACTCATTCAATATAAGGATGTTCATCTCCTTTTGTAAAATTCGGCTGTAACTTTCTGTAGAATGGTCCGATCAAATTAATCCTGTTAGCTAACATATTCCTTACATCCAGAGCTTTCGTTTGAATAATAATTATTTAAATCGGTTGGGAATCAAAAAAGTTATATAACGCCTGATAAATAATTAATAGCCCGAAATATTTTTTAAAATTTTCTTTTTCCTTTTTGTTTTTTATTATTTAAGAATTTAGCGGATTTTTTACTCTTTGTTAAGTGGCTTTATCTAATGTTTTTTGGTAATCCTTTCTTTTACAGGCCCCTAAAAAATTGGGAAAAAGTACTATTTTGATAAATTTGAAACCTGCCATAAAAGTAAGGATTACACGTTTTTTTAGATTTTTGCTCATTTTCAGTCTAAAAATTTTCAACAATTTTTTAGAATTTGAGTATGTCTGATATTCCAAAAAATTCCAATGCTTTTAGACAATTTAAGTAATTTGGCTGAATTGTACAAACCCTTTAATGGCCTTCCTATGGATAATGAATGTAGCTGTTGAAATGCTAAAGAATTGGATAAATTGGCAAATGGGAAAAGTGAAGGTTTTTTAATTTTAAATTATTTTTTAAAATTATAGTCGTATTTTTAGTGAAATTCTGGGTAAATTTATATTTAAGAGCCTTGAACGAGTTCGAACTTTCACCCCTCTTTATTAGTTAACTTAAGTTTTTAG